ATATATATATATATATATTAATTATTATTATTATTATTATTATTATTATTATTATTATTATTATTATTATTATTATTATTATTATTATTATTATTATTATTATTACTATTATTATTATTAATACTGTTATTATAATGTTATTATTACTATTATTACTATTACAATACGTAAAAGATATGATCATTAGCATTAATAGAAAGTTTTTTATTGCTCGAAACTCGCATATAATTGTAACCATCCAGTAGCTTACATCCAATAAAACGCATCATATCAATCCATGCTTCCATACATGCCGGATCTATGTCAACTCCTAAAAGATCCGCTACAGTACATACCACTTGGCTGCAAAATAACCGCACCGTTTCTTCGTTAAAATACTCTGCCTATAAATTAATTTTTTATTCTTCCAAAAATTAGCTTGCTTAATATTTTTGACATTTTTCTTTTTGAATAATTTGTGTTAATTAACAGCGCCACATGAAAAGACAAAAAAGTAAAAATAAGCAAATAAACAAACAAAGAAACAAACAAACAAACAAGAAAGTATGATAATTATACGATAGAAAAGGAAATTTTACGATAAAAACTATTGAAATTGGATTAAACTTGTGATGAAGCAAAACCTAAACTTAACAATTCATGAAAAACCAAATAACCTAACAAAAATAAAAATAATTAAATTTAATAATTTATAAAAAACTGAATAATTTTTGAAAAAAAAGGTAGAATTTAATAATTTATGTAACGAAAAAAACTGAAAAATTTTGTAAAGCTTAAAAAATAATTAATAAAATTCGTAAAACAATTCAAAATTTTAAAATAAAAAAACCACACCGCAAATCTGTAATGTCGTTGTCCATACCGGAAAACTGCCGGAGCAATTTCCATCTCAAGCTCATTCACATGACGTACCTATAGAATAAATAATGGAAAATGATATCCTAAATCCTCATCCATAAACTGATTTTTGCATCAAATGGTAAGTTCGATAATAAATTAAATATCTAATTTTGTTAATTAAACTTTTTGCTATTATATTATGAAAGGAAAACTTTAACTGTTAAGTTATTTGGAGGAAAAAAAAGGTAAGGTAAGAATTGGATAAATTCAAACCGAAAGTGATATTAAATTGTCAAATAATCTCATTTGTCGAAAAATTGGATGTTGTTTAGGTATTAAATCAAATGGATTATATTCTTCCACGTGAAAGGCTCGTTTCAATGATAGATTTCGTTGAAAAACTCGTTGATAAACGAAAAAGCCGAAATTTTGCTCAATAAGTTCTAATTTTGCAGTTATCGTTTGCCATGATTGTCGAATTAATTCCTGTTGCTAAAAAAAGAAAAAAAACTATTGAAGCAGAATTAATTGAAATTTCAAAATTTTCAAATAATTTTTCCTGGAAAAATTTTTATTGAAGTTTATAATTTAAAAAAAATTCAAAAATCTTTTGCAAGAAAAGAAGGAAACTATAATTATATAGAAATAAAATAGCTGTGACATTTACCAGCTATCAGGAAAACAAAAAAAAGGTATGGATTAGTTAGTTTTTAATTAAAAAATTTCTTTTTACATTAGAAAAAGGTTAAAGATCATGCAAGTCAGAAGTTATGTCTTTTCAAAATGACAAAATTTGACAAATAATAATTTACTAACAGTTTCTGAAAGTATGCTTTCTTCTGAAGGCATCAAACGGAATGAATATGTTTTCAATTGTTTCAATGGTGACATTGATCGTGAACGATCTTTCAATGGTTTCAATGTTACTTCCACATCGGATACTTCACCTGTTTCAAAGCTTCGCATCGTTAAGCTACCATGTGCGCCAATAAATTTTAGGCGCTTTTCATTTCGTTCCATTGTTTTCACTTTATATCTCGGCAAAAATCTTATCTCAAAATTTTAATTTCATACAAATTTTAAAATTACAATTTTAATTACCAAAAGTGAAAAATATCATAATTTATATATAAATATTAATTAAGAAAAATTCTACAATAATAATTTTTAATGAATTGAGGAAAAAAATTGAAATATTTCGAAAAAAAAGGAATGAAAAAGCCAATCAATTTCTGTTTTAAAAAATATAGAAATTAAAAATTTCGAAATTATACTTCAACAAATGGACAAATATCAAAAATTTCTAATATTTGCCAAGTGTTACATTCAATCATTAATTATTACTAATGTATGAGAAGGAAGACGAAAAGATATAATTAATATTGAAATTTAAAACTAATAGAAAAGTATCAGTAATTTAAATTAGTTTAAAAAAAACGAACTCTTCGTTCATTACTTGGTCCAGGTAAATCAGGATTCTGTTGATTCATATGTGAATTATCCGATAGTACATATTTGGTGATTTCATTATTGTTACTAAATATTGATGCTGATATAGTAGTATTTTCGGTAGACATTATATCAAGCTTATCATTGATAGATATTTTATGATCATGATAACGAATCTGAAATATGTATTAATAAAGATAAAATTAGATAATTTCCAAGAGAACATTTTTCAATCAATAAGTGAATATTTGCCTAAATAAGAAAAAAAGGTTTAATTTAATTAAAAATATTCGTATATACAATACATTTTCAGACATACTGTTCTCATAGAAAATATGTATGAATACTTAATATTCCCAAGCAATATACATATATGCAATTATAATTCCAATATTGTCACCTAATATTGATGAAACTGTGAAATTGTCACATAAATTTTTTAAATTTTTGAGATGAATATCATCTGATCACACATTTTAAAATTGATTATTCGCTAGATTTATCGAAAGAAGTTCTTTTTCTTTTTTAAATATTCACTTTCTTTGTATACTTTGAAGCTTTTAGTCACCAAGGAAACATAACACAGCTGAAAGATATATTGGAAAAGATCTTATAATGTAGCACAAGAAAAAAAAAAAGAAAAGTGAGCACAAATGAATCCTGTAAAATGTCATCAATTTGATAAAATGACATTAATGGATATTGTCAACAAATTGCAGTAATTATTTAACACATAAATAATTAGCTTTTAATTTTTAATTTTTTTTATTTAAATTTTGCGTTTTTTAAATTAATTTTTAACTCTTTTTATTTTTAGTTTGATTGATATTGATGATAGCAAAATGATACAAGTGAGTCAGATTATTTATAATTTAAGAGCTTTTATAGGTGTAACTTTTTAAATCCAATAAATTAATTGCGAATAATTTAGGATGAAAATGTCTTCAATCAATAAAGATATATACTTCCAATGAAAATAATTTGTTCCAAATTGACCATTTTATTTGTTTACACCAATATTTTATTATAAATAACAGGTCACTAATTACAAATTTCCAATTATTCTTATCATCAATTTCGTAATTTTTACAATCATTTTTCCATTTTTTATTTTTTAGTTTTTGATTTTTAGCCTAAATTGGCTAACAATTGTAATATTGAAAAGTATTGGTTTAATAATTTTTCAATATTTTTTAAGCGAACCATTTATTGATATGCTTCGGGAAATATTCAATTATCATGCAATATCTCCTACATATTCCGGTTAATACTTGTAATCGAATAATAAGCATAAGTTTCCCGATCAAGTTTCTTGGAAGTTTCCCGAAATCGGTAAATTGCATTCATAATTGAATTCTTGCCGAAATCGAAAAATTGTATTTATAATCGAATTGCATTCAATTTCCATTGATTTGTATGTAAGAATTTATTTGGTTGTGACAGAATTTTCGATTTTCTCTTTCCGTTACAAAAAAAAAAGCATTGAATAAAAAAATGGAAGTTGTAAATATCATGATAACATTATAATCATTGTGTGATGATAAAAAGAGTTATAAATGGTGATAAAGAAAAGAGAAAAATTATGAAACTATTCGCTTTATTACTGTTTGAAATCATTAAGTGAACATTTTTCAATTTTATTAAAATTTACGAATGACTTTATCAGGACAAAAAAATAGATAAGAGAAAGGATTGTTTTTTTTTAAAAAAAAAAAAGTACTAATCAGGATGATTAAGACCATCCAATTTTTCAGATGTAGATTTTAGGCAATGATTAGGGTTGATCAATTTTTAAAAACAATTTCCGGACAATTTATTAGGGTTTTTCTAGCTCCTCAAAATAACTTTTGGATTATTTGTCAAGGTTATCCAGTTTTTCAAAATAACTTTCGAAGATTTTTACCGGGTTGTATATTTTTTCAAAATAGCTAATTTACTAAGAGTAATTTGCATAGGGGGTGTAAATGCTTCATTAAATGGATTTGCATTGAAATTGTTTCATACAAGACTAATGATATTCACTACTAAAACATCCATTTAAATTTTATTCATCCAATATTTCAAACATTTCATATTTACAATTATTTCAAAAATTTCTAACAAACGAAAAAAAAGGAAGCATTCATCACAAAAAAATACAAATTTTCTGCAATATTTTAAGGAAATTTGAAAAAGTTATATGGTATTTAAAATAAATTAAATCGAAAAATGAAATATGCAAATCACTTTGTTTTATGTATAAATTATATTTATTGGTTATTCTATGCAATTGAAAAAAAAGATTACAAATAAAGTCAAATAAAATTGAAATTTTTAAATAAAATTGAAATGGAAAACAAATCACTGCTCTCCCCCTTTTTTTATTATATATATATATATATATATATATATATATATATATATATATATATATATATATATATATATATAT